TCTGATTGTATGTATGTACATGCAGATGATGGTGTATATGTAGATGTGGATGTGCGTATACATAGGTAGGTAGGTAGGTAGGTAGGTAGGTAGGTAGGTAGGTAGGTCGGTAGGTAGGTGGGTAGGTAGGTTGGTTGGTTGGTTGGTAGGTAGGTGTGTATGTCAGTTATGTAAACATGCACGTATGTTCAAGCAGGTTTTGTTATGCTATGTTGTGTGTGTATGTATGTATGTATGTACGTATGTATGTATGTATGTATGTATGCATGTATGTATGCATATATGTATGTATGTATGCATGCACGTATGTTACGTATGTTGTGCATGATGTGTATGTGTGTGTGTGTTATCTGTGTGGTGTTCGTTGAGTCTGCTATGTCTGTAATGCTTGATGTATGTTATGTTATCTTATGTTATGTTATGGTATGTTACGTCATGTATGTGAGTGTATGTGTGCATGTCTGTTTGTGTCTATGTAATGTCGCTACCTATGATATGTATGTATGCAATGCCTGTATTTTTTGATATGCAATGTGTATGCTATATACGTTATGCATGTTGTGTATGTTGTGTATGCTTGGGTGCCACGTATGTATGCTATGCATGCTATGTATGGCGCACATGTTATGTCTGTCATGTTTGTCATGTTGTATGGTGCGGATACTATGTATGTCATGCGTTTATGTTACGTATGTTATGTACATGCATATGTATATGTACATGTACATGTGTAAATGTATTTGTATGTGTATGTGCATGTGGGCGTATGTGTACATGCATGTGTATTCGTATATGTATGTGGACGTGTATGTGTTTGTGTTTGTGTTTGTGTATGTGTGTGTGGGTTCTTTAAAGCTTCCTATATGTTTTAAAGTTTAAAGGTTTAGGATTTGAGGTTTGGGATTTAGGGCGTGTGTGTATATATATGTACATAAATATATGCATACATATGTATATATATATATATATATACATACATACATGTAAATGTAGGTTCTGGAAGGGCTGCTACAATGGCCCTTAGAAAGGATGCTACAAGACTTTCGGGTTTTTGTAAGGGCTAGGAGGATGCCTACGAGGGTTTCTACAAAGGTTCCGACAAGTGTTCTAGAAATTTGGGGCTCCAAATTCTAGAGTTTAGGGTTAAGGGTTAAGGGTTGTCACATAGGGGACCTACGAGGGAATTATACACTATACTGATGGGGGGTATACTATGCAATAGTTATATCTAGACGACAATGGATTTTTTGGTACTGTTCCGACCAGATTAGGGGGGGTTGAAGATTCCTCCTTTGCTTTCTCGCATGGCTTGAGGAGCTTCTATCTCAGTTCTAAATCCCTTCATGGAGGCCGAAGAGACACCATGAACCCTAAGCCCTAAACCCTAAACCCTAAGCCCTAAACCGTAAGCCCTAAGCCCTAAACCCTAAGCCCAGGAACCCGAAGCAAAAAGTTGATGATTTTAAGTTCCATAGCTCGCGGCGAACCCTGAATAATTCACCCCACATACGGACACCCTAAACTGCCCCAAACCCTAAACCCTAAACCCTAAACCCTAAACCTTAAACCCTATATCTGCATCCCGTCGCTCAGGATGGTGTGAAGGATAAGTTTGGCAGATTCCTGGTCTTCTGGATCGCGCAGGGCATGTGGGTGATGCTGATCTCCATGCCGAATCTTTTCATCAACTCCTCCAGCGTGAGCAGGCGCTCTGTCCTTAAGTCGCCCCCTAAAGCGACCCAGATTGAATCCCGCAAGCTACTCGTCCTGCCACGCTTGAAGCCCAAAGCCAGCTACCTATACTTTCTGAACTCTGGAAGCCCAAACATCAGTCTTGTCAATGCATTGTGTCGGCCGGAGCTCAAAAACGGCTGCCTGGTCCTTGATCTCTGAGCTAGCACCCTGAACCTCTCAACCTTAAACCTCTGCAAGATCCGCATGGAACTTTCGTAGAACCCTTACTGCGCCCGTCTAGAGCCCTATAAAATCCTGTATGACAGGCCCCTCAACTGGTTCGACTGGCTTCTCGTGGCTGGTTTCGCCTATGCAGTTGTCGTCGAAATCCTGGCGGACATCCAGACGCCTGGGATTCTTCAGTCTCCGCTTTGGGGTACTTTGGAGCGCTAATTTCTAACCCACTTGCAAAAGCAACCGCACACCCGCACTCACACTCAGACCCACACCCAGACTCACACTCACACTCTCACACTCTCACACTC